TCACGGCAGCTCGATTGCCTTACCACAACACTCACACTACCACACGTGCGAAGCTAAAGCAGACATGCTGTTCGACCAACGGCAACGACGACGGGATAAACGGGAGAGGACCGTCGGACGAGAAGCAGAAGTAGAAAGAGGCGCCACCTCTCGTTTCTTTCAGTTCCCTTTCAGACTCTCACTACGTGACTCGGGAGCTAGAGCATCTCGGGACATGGAATCTATCTGGGAGGAGGATGAGCGTGTTGTTGATCTGGGCTACAAATCTCCAACGAGGGAGGAAGCAGTCGACGGAGACGAGCGGGGACGAAGTGGGCAATCGCGGTCCGGTTACACCAGTGGAGGGAGAACATCTGGCGAGCATGGCTATCGGAATGGATATTCGAATGGCGGATACTCATATTTGAATGGGGGCCGTGGAAGAGCTGGCTCTGGTGGTGGTGGAGAGATGACGAAGACGATGACGAGCGTCGTAATAGCGGAGATCACCTTGACTATTACTTCTCTCAACATTTCTCGTCTTCTGAGGAAGAGGATGACTCGGAGGATGAGGATTCTGACTCGGAGGAAGGTGGAGGAAATTCAGAGGTGCACCATACTTTCAGAAAGTCGCACAATGGGCAGTTGCCTCGTCACAACCAAAGCGGCAGCAATACTCGCACGGGCGCAGCTCCTCGACCCAGTGATGTACGTGTTACCCATCAGCATCAGACCTCTTCATCGCCAGAATCCAATTCTGAAGAGGACGATGTTCCGCTGGCAAAGTCACATCCCACTGCTCTGAGAGCACAGCAGAGTATTCGGATAAAAGATCGACAGAGGAGGAAGGAAAGAAAGTTGGAGAAGGTACAAGAGAAGGCGGCCAGGAATAAGCAAGCCGCAATCAAGGGTGATCCGAGTGCGAATGGTGCAAATCTAGGAAGCGCTCTTGGTGTAGGCGGAATGTCGAGCACGCAAGAAGCAATGCTTCATGCCTCCATACCGGAGTCAGGGCCCTCTGTGCCCTCCGTGACACCAATCTCATCTTTTGCCACGGCGAAACCCCCGAAACATACTTCCACTACCCAAAATTCCACCGCTTTCCCGGCGTCGCCTCATCACTCTTCGCCGACAGTCGTCGGTAAAACGACGTTGCCACCGTCTGTCCCAGCCGGTACGGTGAGGCTTCGGGCTCGAATGGGGAGAGGAAGAACCACCACCATCAGCGGGGAGAATCCGAATGCACAAGGAGGGTCCGTACCACCTGTCCCCCCGACACCAAGTCAGAACTTCCTTCCACATCACAGCTCGACTACAGGGGATGCTCCTGTTAGGACTCTTAGACCTGTGCGATCGTTTCACAAGCCCAATCTTAACCAACAGGGTCACCAGGAATGGCATGCGAGCTCACCTCCAGTCCCTGCACCTGCACCAGCCACTGCCTCCGGCTTGACGCGATCACATACGAGGGGTCGATCGCAGTCCAATGCCCACCCTCACTCGGCGGCCCAGATGATGGCAACCAAATCTGCTCCTCCGTTACCCCCTCAACCCCCCGCCGCTACCACTACCAGCGCACGATCAAGATCCAGGCCACCACCGACAAGAAACCCATACCCGACAGACGAGTTCGGAGCTCTTGCGGTAACCCAGGCAGAACCACTTGCTAGACGGAGTACTGAGTCTCGGCGAGGTGGTCGTTCCAGCTCTGAACATCCACGCGAGAAAGTTGAACTTCCACCTGTCGAGTTGATGCCCCCTTTGCCTCAGCTCGAGACGCAACAACTGCGGGTGTATATCTCGACGAAACAGAGGTTCGTGATGGTCGAGATCACCAGCATGACGAATGCGGGGGACGTCATTGGGATGGTTAAAGCGAAGGGTGGGCTACCAGATGTCCAGTTTGGGATGGACGCTGGTGAGGGAGCGCAGGGTGTGGGGTGGGTGGTTTGGGAACTCAACGCCGACTTGGGATTGGAGAGGCCGATACGGGCGTTTGAACAGCTTGTGGAGGTGCAGGGCTCTTGGAATAAGGAAAAGACGGAGAATGCGTTCATGATCAAGTGGACTCCGGGGTGGGAAAAGATGTTAAGGAGAGAAGTAAGTGTTTGCCTTCGCCTCTTTTGTGACGACCGGGTTTATATGGCTTCTGGTTACAGGCAATACCTGTTGCGGCCCCCACGTATTCCGGGTACCTCGAGTACGAGGTTCGAAGGGGAAAATGGAATAAGAGGTGGCTAGTTCTGAAGGACCATTGTTTGTATATCAGCAAGAGGGACAACGTAAGTTTTTCAGTGTTTTCTTCATATGTATCCCGCACTCACGTTGATGGTTCTGTATAGTGCAAAGATCAGACACTGCTCGCCAGCTTATCCAACTTTGACATTTATCACTTCATACATCCGCCGTCAAAGACCCCGAAGGAATACGCGTTTGGAATCAAGAGCACGGACAAAATGAGTTTGTTTGAAGATACCAATGATTACATGCATATCTTCTGTACCAGAGAGGGAGAGGGAGAGAAGTGGATGCAAAGAATCAGAATTGCTAGGGTGCGTTGTTTGTTCCTTCCTCCGTGGTACCGGGACATTCTGACCGTGATCCGTTTCCCCTTCTTCTAGTCATACGTCCTGTATCAAGAACGCAATGTCTTATTCGCGCCTCCGCCTTCACAGGCAGTACCTATGTCCGCCCCTGCGACCAACGGAGGGGGGTTGGGTAGATCTATGACGATGAAGAGAAGGGTGCCAGCCCAGCCACTTGTGCAGGTAGCGGAAGGGAATGTCTTTGCGAAGGGTTCGTTGTTGAGGAGTCAGATATGAATAGACGCGGCGGAATGAGGATGTGGATTCTTCTACATACCCAGGTTTGTTTCTCATCTCTGCTATATATGGCTCATCTTAGTATGTCCCGCCTTTCGTTGTGCAACCTTTATCCCTTGGATACAATCCCATTTTCCCGTATCTGACCATTCTGTGGATTCGTTTTTCACCCATATACCACATATATCCTACTCGACCTTGTTTACTGTATACTGTACGTTAGTTGTACGTATTACTTCGCGCAAATTTTTCAAATGCTAGATAGGTTTCCGTCTCTCACTTCCGCCTGACAACTGGATCCCGAGACCAGATTCCTAACATGATAATTTTGTCATCGACAAGCTCTAACACGTTTTGAACTTTCGATCCATCCATATCACACCGACAGAACCTGGAAAAAAGCGGATGAGCTGAGGTTGCTGAGCCAAACTGTGTCGGAAGTCGGGACTCGGTGACGCTCGACCGGAACATAATGATGCACGTGCAAGCAGAATCTCATGCTCATGCTTTGTCCCGGATGTCCAGGTCCTTGACCACTACGCTCGCCTGATATTCTTTCTCCGTCCAATTCTTGTTGTATCTGTCTCAATGGACTCTCCTTCGTGGTCAGACGCTATCTCAGCAGCAATAGGCTCGTGTCTGCCATGTTTCAGCTCTCCAAATGATAACGACCATGATTCTCTCCAAACCTCATCATCGCGCAGTCGACCTCCCCAGCATCTCGAATCTCTTCTCGCGGATCCCCAGGATACCGACACAGAAGCAGAGACGGTCTCCCTTCACTCCAATCTGGGCTCTGGCAACACTAGGCGAAAGAAAAAGAAGCGATCCAAGAACGGGATAACCCTTTTCGGTCTCAACCTGTTTGGACGTCCAACAGGTCCAATCAACCTACCTGAAGATGAAGAAGAGGTTGACAGACTCTTGAATCGGTCTTCAAACCGTCGCGTGAGACGAACATCGTCTTCTTCGTCTACCACACGGACAGGAGGCACCAGATCTTCGTCTCTGACGTTTGACGCTGATGCGGCACTTCTCGACCCAGCTGCTCTAGACCAGCTTACGCCGGCGCAGTTGGAGGAACGTGCACGAGAAGCTGAACTGCAGGCTGAAGAGGCGAGGCAAGCAAAGGAAGAGAGGAAGAGGATTAGAAGGGAGAAGAAAGAGATGAAGAGACTTGCTGCGCAGTTGGCCGTCAGTGGGCCTGGAGGTGACGGAGAGTTTGAGGGCTTCCAGGGTAGTGGTGGACCCTCTCCCTCGACAGCTGGATACCCATTCATTCCCCAACCATTACTCAGCCCAGACACGATTGGAGCACAGTCCATCGACGACGAGGCCGATGGCTCAGCAGACTTAGACGGTACTTTGTATACTGGAAGAAGCCGGGCAGGCGGTTCTGCCGGTGGTGGAGGCTCTGACTCGCGACGTTCACCCGCATCGGGGTCTGTTGTGTCTTACTCCGATGTCCAGCACCAAAATGTTGTAAACCTCACCCCGTCGACCACTCCATCAACGACGAAGAAAAAGAAATCATCTTCATCAGGAAAATCGAAATCCAGTCGATCCCGTTCCTCTGCCACATCTTCTACGCAGTCTCCTTCGCTCGCGTCACCCGTTGGGAGCGAGTTCACGGGTCTGCCCTCCCCTTCTCTGCTCGGCGATCGCTTTCCCCAGAAACCGTTTATCACGACTGCCGAAACATTTGCTGGCGAAGAGCGAGGATTCCCAAGTCCAGGGCTTGGAGGACCGACGAGGGTTGGCAGAAATGGGGCTTTCCTGGCGAGTCGAGGTGACGCCTTTTAAGGCACTTAGGAAGATACATGTATTATTTCGTATGATCATTGGGTAAGTTGTTCATATCCCTTGATTACTCTTATCTCTGATCTACTTCATTTACTTGTGTAGACTATTGAACTTATATGTTGACATCTACAATTTTGTTTGTTACGACTTACGACCGCCGTACGAGTGCGTGCACAAATGCCCCTAACTTATATCTGTTCTACTTGACATATCGGTGCTGGTGTATGAAGACTCAACGCATCTATTAGCGAAAAGTCATTCGTCTCCTTTATTTGTCGTGCTCTGGAATGCCCGTGAAGTAGTTAGCATTCATGGCAAGATTGGCGTACTCGAACCAACATTCGGGATGAGAACGTGTGCGTGCTCGCATACTTGATAAATCAATGGTTGTCTAACGTCCTGGTCGATTAGTGGTGAAATCATCTCGTTGTGGACTTCCTTTTCTCTTCCGAGAAGCCGAGGGCTCGACTCCCTCCCGGGACATTGCCCAATTACTCACATTCAAAGTAACCAGGCCATGGTTCAATTGATTTATGAACCGTTTTGCGACGTTTATTCACCAAGACTTTGCTTCAGATCGTGAACGTCTCGGCAGTCGCGTATCTACGGTGCCACCATCAATCCCCTACAAACAGTACGCCGACAAGAAATGAACGGAGGCCTTCAGGCCCCATTCAGCGTGTAGAAATGTTTAATTTAGGATGTCAACCACTCATCCGGATCCCCTTGCCCTTCTACGAGATTGAACCAGCGGCTTGGTGCTTACAGGCGACTGAACTTTTGTTGAAGCGACAATCCTTAATATCGATCTTTATCACTGTGACCTCAGCTCGGGCCTGACTTCTCTGGATACCATGAGAATATTGTCCGACGGGACGATCAGTCGTGGGGTTCTATGAACAGACCGGAGACCGAACACGAGGTAGCCATTTTGTGGACCGTCTAAGGGGCGGCCACCCTGTTGAGCCATACAGCCTGATGCGATGAGTGGGACAAGCCTGACGCCACAGGGCTAGGAATTGGTTGGAACGCTGAGGACCCTCTGACAAGTTCACCAGTGCCACCATCCAGTTACCGTTAGAATCCGGCGAATGAACTGCGCCTTTTGCGGACTTGGTGAAGGGTATTCGGTCTACTTCAAGCTTTTGGGCCAAGTGGACACTCATTGAATCCCCGTTTGAACTATTTAAGACGGGCCCGAATTAGGGGAGACGACCTCGTCGGTCCATCTGCCAGCAGTTTGTATCCGTACCAAGTGTGCAACTAAACGCTGGTCAGGTTCACGGCTCCTATAGGCAGTCAGTCGCACGAAGGTCGGACCCTGTATGTGGGATGCCCCAGCTATCCGAGGACTGTCGGAGGGCGACGACACCATCTCGGGGCTAACCGAGCTGGCCGGTCGCTGGTGGGAACGCCAAAGCGGTATACATCTGAATCATTTTTACTCGAGGTGTCCGAGTCGGCCCAATGCAATTTGTCTTCCACTAGCTTCGTGCTTGGTACGAATTTCCTACATACATAGCAACAGAAACTTCTTTGGATCCGTCCAATCCGATTGGCAACTACTATTCAAAAAACCTGTATGGAGGTAAATCGTAGTCTAAGTATGATGTAGAATTCCGAACACAGTAAAGAGTATGATACTCGGCTGAGCGTCGCCACCGAAGTCAACAACATCTACATAGCGCAAAGATAAATGTTATACAGCCAAGGGGTACCCTTTGACATTCTCGTCTGAGCGAGTGGACTCCCTTAATCCTCCTCCCACCGAAGTGAACTTGTCGTCGTAATCCCTGGTGGTCTCGATCTGGACGGTTATTCCAGCACCACCTGAGTTTTGAGCCCTGTGCTGGCGAGGATTACGGTCTTGCATCGGCATGTTGCGAGAGTTGCCCTCGCTTTCAGTGCTCCTGCCTCCGTTGCGGATGAAGGCACGGGCATTCAGCGTCGCCAGAATTGAGTTTGTGTACACTGTCCAACGTCGACAGTCAGCTTTTCACGTAGATCGAAGGAACCATGATGGGGGCTTACGACGTCCAACTATTATAGGGTGAGGTGGAAAAACATGAGACATAATTTCAGCGAAGGAGGATTGGTTTACACACTCGTCAGGTAGAAACAGAAGTACACCAATGTATTGGGAAGAGCCAAGATCTTGAGAACAGGCGACGATGAGAATCTCCCGGAGTACAAGGAGATGGAACGTACGAAAATGAGCGATGCGGTGGCACAAGCCGCTGTTAAGATACCAGAGTTAATTGCAAATAACATCTACGTGGCCCGGGCGATGAGTTCCAGGGATCCGGAGGGATTCGATCAGATGGCTCACTAAACGATTGATGATATGGTTGCTCCATGAGAAACCAGTTTTGGAAGCGTTGAGCAGAACACACATCTGGAAAAAGTTTCAGCCTTTGAAGTACGAGAGCAGGACAGAGGAAGACGCACCGCAATACAAATGGCAATATCAGTGACCGCGGCGGTGACTGGTAGTATTGATAGTCAGAATCCGAGGAAGCACCGAGACGTCGTCTCGCACCGTTAACACTCTGATCGCGAAGATCGATTTAGAATTCAGTAAGTGAAAAATAATGAGGTTGAAAAACGGACCATTGAAAGCGCCTGAAGTTCCTTGAATTTATCGAAGGTATTCAGGTTCTGCGACATCCCTTGAGCCACGAAAGCAATCGAAGTCCCTACCAAGTCCCGTCTCAGTTCAAGTCCTGTCAGAACGATGATTCCTCGCTTTAACTTTACCTAGGGCGGAGAGCACTAGAAGGACCTAGGAGACTTGAGACTCAGTAAAGTCCCATTGTGTTTACGACTGAGACTCACGATGCCTGCAGTGAGAGGGACGTTCTTCCAGACTGGTGAAAAAGGAAGAGAAGGATGAGAATATGGAGTCAGGAATAGTTTGGAACTCACGCGTCCAAATTCGCCAAGTGAAGAAACTCTGAACAAAGAAGGCGGTGAAGGCGTTGAACAAAATCTCTACGTAAAGGCTCCTAGAAATCCGTTCATGCACACAACCGATAAAATTACTCGAGGAATGAGCACACACCAGTCCACAGAGGAGGCGAATTCGGTGTCACCAAAGTGTTTGATAACATAGATGTAGACTTTTTGCACGTCAGTGTCGAGTTGAAGCCGGGGAGAAGACGAATCCACGCACTGGCGTAGGTTATCAATATTTGATGAATCGTATCGCAGATGAAGGTCAGTGCAACCTTAAACGCGCAGAAAACCGTCAGCTTGCTAATGGAGACGCGTAGTGACGCAAACTCACAGTCCCCTTGAGTATCCTGGGGTCGTTGGGATAATTGTCGTAGTACCACCAAGTCTGAACAGCACCGACACCCCACAGCGCCATAGCCACCGTCATCCCTATGTATAACCATCCAAATCTTGGAGGAATTAGTAGGTGCACGGGAATAATAGTCGAACACTCACGTTGCGTCGAGAGGCATTGCTTCGGCCATTATTCGCTACACGCTCGATCGGTGAGGAGAAAATTTGTTTGACTGCTTCCCGGCGCAAGACAAACCCTCCTAGTTAAATAACAAAGCAGAGGCTGGCATTTCGCGTGCAACTTGAGCCCTACTTATTGAGTTTGAACTGTATTAGTATTAAGTTTTGGAAACCCAGGGGCAACAGTGACCGGAGAAAAGGTTATGGCAAGCCCAAGGCAAACCTACGATAAGCCTGCCGACCGGCTCCTGAGCCACAGCAAACAACGATGGGGTTAAAATCTCAGAGTCACCTAGGCCCAGGCTTACGGCTGGGTCGACGGGGATCAACAAATGTGGAGAGGAAATGGAGAAGACGAGCATACCGACCGCAAATCCCACAGTCCGAAGTAGAGATGATGGAATGAGAATATCCAAACGAGCGAGCTAACTTTCGAGGGTTGTGAATAGATTCGAAGGGCAACACTGGGGGCCGGGCAAGCGAGATGGCTTGAATGCGAAATCCGGCTGCCCGTAAGTCAGGTGTGTACATGACATGGTAGAAAGTCTGACTAGCCTCAGATCGTCGTCTACACTGAACCTTTACAACGACGCATGCGTCGTTGTGATCAGCCCTAACCCCAAATCCACATTAAGTCCCCCCATCAGGTAGAGCTCGAGAGGACACAGGAAGAGTTAATTCCAGGCAACAATTGGACGTCAGCATAGCGGAATGCAGTTTTGGAAGCCAACGACGTTTCGGTCGCTACTTCAGAGAACGATGATGTCTTTCATCCTAGGCCGCGCACAGCTCGGGAATGCTGATTTTGTGGAGGCGAACTCCCCGCCCAAATGGGGTAGAGGCTTTGAACCAAAAGGAAGTAAAAGAAGGGTCGAAGTCATTGGACAAGAGTAATGTGCGGCGGCACGCAACCAACTGTAGATCTTGAAGTTGTGAGGGAGCAGGTCCCTGTTCATTCAGCCCGTTGTTTCCTCTGGCTCTCGGGAGCCTCACACCGTACACGAATGTTTCAAGTGAAGAAGGTTTGGAGAATCGAATATCCACACTAGCCACAGAGCCCAGGGATCAGTTCATCTCCGAATAGGATGCACCAGTCCATACAGCGTGGAGTCCGGATGAGTGTCAGCAGAACACCAGGTTTAAGTCATCCATTTTCCCGCCCTTTCGTAGCTGTCGTAGCCAAGGCAGCAGGTAGGAGCTGTGATCAGCAAGCCAAAAACAATCATAGTAGGAGCAGAGGGTAATACCCGGAGGTCAGACGCTCGAGCTTCAGTCTGAGTATGGTGGACTGGGAGGAGCTTGCAAAGGCCAGTCGTCGGAGCGTCGGAGCCTGGCGGAGATAATTTTTCTGCCACGAGCCGGAGATAAGCCGGAGATGGGCGAACCGGCGAGTTCATTCAGAGTGATTGCAAGTGGCTTGAATTTCGAGCACTATTACACATTGTGATAACGAAAGACTACTTCATTTGGTATGATGGAATATGCGAGGGAATCGACTAAAGCTGGAAGGGAGCGAATGCGGTGTGATTTACCCCGCGACTACCGTACTTTTCTGAAACGAGGATTTCGAAATTCGTCAGAGGCAGTTAGAGGGTATCGTTCCTGATCATGTCAACGACATGTTGGGACCTTGGCTTCAAACTGAGCTTGAAAGGCAATGGGTAGCTACCGAAAATATGTCAACATCCGACACGATGCTGGAAGCGGGCCAAGGAAACTCACCAAAGCATACCAGAGGTGTACTCGCCGGAGGGAGCTTCCTCCTTACCAGTCTTGGGGTCGACATAGGTACCGAAGTCGAAGCATACCAGCAAAGTGGCGACTGTCACCCACATCGACATCTCTGCAATGTCATTTCCAGGGCAGGACCTACGTCCGAAGCCGAAAGCGACGTCGGGGTGTCGAACGTTGGGGTCGAGTTGGCCATCTTTGGTAAGGAATCGTTCGGGTCTGAACTTATCTACATCCGGGCCGTACACCGACTCGTCGTACAGCATCGCCCTAAAGTCGTCGGT